ATCATGTTCTCCTGGAGTTTCTTATACAGTGGAAAGAAGAAGCTAGGCCTAGTTAAACACTCATTGTAGACTTTAGGAGAGCTGATTTCAACAAACATGGGGAAACACTGGGAGTGATCCCATGGTCTACTACTAGGAATACTACTAGGAGAAGGGAGTTCAGGATGGATGGGAGTTTCTCAAAAGGGAGATACTGAAGGCACAATCTCAAACTGTTCCAATGAGAAGGAAAAATGGGATATGTCTCAAGAAACTGGGTTGGATGACAAAAGACCTTTCAACTGAACTACGTTTTAAATGGGAGATGTATAAGAAATGGAAAAGAGGCGAAATCACTATAGAGGAATTCAAAGAAATAGCTAGCACATGTAGGGGTAAAGTCAGGAAAGCCAAAGCACAGAATGAGCTCAGGCTTGCTAGAGGGGTTAAGAACAATAAAAAGGGTTTTTTTGGGTATGTCCGTAGCAAAAGAAAAAAGAAGGAAATGGTAGGGCCACTGCACAGAGAAGATGGAGAAATTCTAACAGGGGAGAGAGAAAAGGCAGAACTACTCAACACCTTCTTTGCCTCAGTCTTCTCACAAAAGGAAAAGGGTGTTCAACCTGAGGAAAATGGAGCAGAGGACACAGTAGGGGAAATGCAGCACAGAATAAGTAGAGGAGGTACAGGGATACCTGGTTAACCTACATGAATTTAAGTCTCCAGTTCCAGATGAACTGCATCCAAGGATATTAAAAGAACTGGCAAATGTAATCTCAGAACCACTGGCAATAATCTTTGAGAACTGCTGGAGAACAGGAGAAGTCCCAGCAGACTGGAGGAGGGCAAACATTGTCCCCATCTTCAAAAAGGGGTAACAGAGGATCCCAACAACTATCGCCCAGTTAGTCTGACATCAATACTGGGAAAGATTCTAGAACAGTTCATTAAACAGAGTCTGTGAACATTTAGAAGGGAATGCCATAATCACTAAAAGTCAAAATGGGTTTCTCAAAAACAAGTCATGCTGGACTAATCTGATCTCTATTTTTGATAAAATTACCAGCTTGGTAGATGAAGGGAATGCGGTAGACATAGCATATCTTGATTTCAGTAAAGCTTTTGACAAGGTCCCCCATGATATTCTTGCAAACAAGATAGTAAATGTGGGCTAGACAATACAACTGGTAGGTTGATTAGTAAATGGTTGACTGACCGAACCCAAAGGGTGCTCAGCAATGGCTCCTCTACATCTTGGAGAGAAGTGACCAGTGGGATGCTACAGGGTTCTGTCCTGGGCCCAGTGCTAGTCAACATCTTTATCAATGATTTGGATGAAGGAATAGGGGGCATGCTTACCAAATTTGCAGATGACACAAAATTAGGAGGAATAGCTAATACCCCAGAGGACAGGATGAAAATTCAAAATGAATTTCAACAAATTCTTAATAGATTAGAGAGCTGTGCCAAAGCTAACAAAACGAATTTCAACACAGAGAAATGTAAGGTACTGCATTTGGGGCAAAAAGATGAAATGCATAGATATAAGATGGGGGACACCTGGCTTAATGAGACTACGTGTGAAAGGGATCTAGGAGTCCTAGTAGATCACAAGTTGAACATGAGTCAACAGTGTGATGACGCAGCTAAAAAGGCCAATGCAATTTTAGGCTGCATTAGTAGAAGTATAGTACAGTGGTACCTCTACTTACGAAATTAATCCGTTCCGACAGCCATTTCGTAAGTTGAAAATTTCGTAAGTAGAGGCAAATTTAACATTGAAAATGCCTAATCCGTTCTGCAGCGAGGCCGGGACCAGCCTCGCTGTTCTATGGGCCTGATCGCCGAAGCAGTTGCTTCGGCGACCAAGCCCATA